CCTTCTCTAATTGCATTATAAAATATATGATAGGGATTCAAATTTCATCAGAAAGTATACTGTATTACTAAAAATAAATTAAGACTATATAAACTGAGGTACAAATATATAAGTTAGAAATAAGCAAGAAACTCCTAATAAGAAAAGCTACTGATCTTTGGAATGAATAAGGAGGAAGTTTATATTGTCTTTTGACTTAAAACATTTTTTAAGAATAATATTTATTTATAACACATCCACTTTCAAAAAGGATTTGGAGCATCTTAAAATAACTATAACTCCATAACATTTCATAAATCACAGCGTATTTTAGTGTAGAGGTCTTAGAAAGGAAAATAAAAAAGCATTAAACACATTATTACAAGATTGACCGAAGTGAAATTTTGTATCTTAACATATTCACTAGAAAATTTAAAAAGATTAAAACTACATTTAAAAAAATGCATACAAATTTAATTTTGAAAATCAAAAAATAAGTAAATCTAATGATTAAAATATAACAACAATAACTACAACAAAGTAACCTTTTCCATATAAAGCAAAAGATTATTCTTTAAAATACCAAGAAAATAGACAAATATGGCAAGGTAAGGGAGAAAGGTAAAAATAACTTTAAAAACAACAAAGTGAAGATATAAAACATAAGATATCATTTATAAACTGGAGCTTGGTAAAACTTTAAAAACTGATAATATCCAAGGTTGATAAGGATGCACAGAAGGAGATAAAGAGATACCTTCATTACTATGTGGGTAGAAGTATAACAGGTTAAAAAAAACTTTTCAAAAAGCAATCTGACAATATTCAGAAAACTTAAAAACTATAGTTCATGTACCAACGATTATACTTCCATCCAGAAATCTACTGAATAGAAATATACATGTACATAAAGATAAATGGGCTGTTCAGGATGCTCACTACAGTCATTCATAAGAGCAAAAAATATAAAAATAATCTCATATCCACTGAGAGAGTAGTAGATAAAGTAACCACACAATCACTGAAAATAATGAGGTTAACATTTACACTCATGGAAAGAATATCAGAATCTACTGCAACAAAAGAGAAGCTAAGAACAAAATATATAGCAAAGAAAAATTTTAAAAAACTATTATCTACATATTTGTACATATGAATATAATGAGAGGAGAAATGGACTATAAAGGAACAAATCAAACGAA